TCGGCTCAAAGGTGATTTGACAGTTAGAAATGCTCTCTCATTAGAGTTTTACCTGGGTTTTTCTTGGGTAGTTGATTGTCGAGTTTTTAGACGTCTTGATGGAACATTAGCTACATTAACTAAATTCTTTGGACCAGGATTAATAAAACCAAGATCATGAAGTGCTCGATCCTAATTTTGAATAAGAAAAGAAAAACGAAACATTTATTTATTATTAAAAATCACTAGTTTACTGTTCGTTTTTTTCGTTCATATTCATCTGTTGATGAAGGTTTCGGTGATGACGATGAAGTAGGATAAAATCCATTTCCAGCATTCATTAATGGAAGATGAGAACGACGAATAGAAAGTATACTATTAGATGATACAGTTGTTGTTGATTTTATTTTAAAGTCATTAATTGATTTAGTTGATAATGATGACGATGGCTATGAATAAAAACAAAAAATAAAATCTATATAAAAAAATAAATAAATTCAACCAACCGATTCAAGAACATCAAAAATATTTTTATTGTTGTCATCCATGTTCTTAACTACGAATAAGTAAATAAATCTAAAAAAGATTGAAATATAAAAAAAGAATTCTAATGATATGCTTCTTTAATCAATTGATTAATCGAATTCGATGTTTTGGTACTTGTCCAGTTTAATCACAGGGCATATAAATATAAACAGAACAGAAAAAAGAATTGATTGGCGGAAAAGTAATGATCATATAGAAACATACATAGAGCAACGAAATAGATTGGTCACAGTTGAAAGATTACCGTTGTGCATAACTGTAATCTTTTAACTGTGACCAATCTATTTTGTCGCTCTATGTATGTTTCTATATGATCATCACTTTTCCGCCAAACAATTCTTTTTTCTGCTCTGTTTATATTTCTATGCACTGTGATTAAACTGGACAAATACCTCATCTGTGTACCGAATTGGTGAACAAATTGATTTATGTGAAAAATATGTTTTTAGGGTTTTAAAACATTTGTTGATGACGAAGAAGAAGAAAATAAATGAATTCCAATAAATGATAAAATAGATATATCAAATAATGAAAGAACAATTTTTAGCAAATTTAATTCGACAATCTTAAGATGGTTTTAATAAAAGTTTATTAAATGAAGAAAAATCTTTTGATGATTTAACTAAATTAAATAAAAGAATAAATAATCTTAGTTAACAAGTTGGTTTTCAATTGATTTGATTTATGTCTAAATATTGTTTGTAAAATAGCTGTTGTCAACAGCAAGCGTATCTTTTACCATCAATAGATCATTACTGTTGCGATTCATTAAAACGAATGCTTTTACCAAATCATAATTAACAACAAAAGTTTGTTATTTATTTTATTTTATTTATTAATTTAATTTATAGTGAAATTTTATTGAATGATGAAATAGGAAATGATCGTTTATCAAGAATGTTTGTTAATTGAGAAGAAATTTCATAAAGAAGAGAAAAAAGAAAATAGTCGTTTTTTCGTGTGATTTGTTGCAGAACATAAGTTTATTTTTAAATTTGTGTTCTTTTCATTTGTTATTCAAGGTGATGTGATAAAAATAGTTGTTACCTAACGTAGGTGAAGTTAGCACCAGATTCGAGTAAATCCTGCCAAGATTCGCCCAGGTACATGTTCCAACTGTCCCACAGTGTGTTCCAAGTACAACTCGATGAGCTCTATCGAATGGTATATTCCGATTCTCGGTAGCTCAAACCAAGTCCAAGATAATCAGAAAATACTAGATTTCCACCATGGCCGGTTTTGCATCCATCAACTAAAACCCACCNGATTTTCCATAACTCAAACTGAGTCTCAGAAAATTCAAAAATACTAGTGTATCACCACAAAAATCCTAGATTTTAGGCAGTAAAACCCGCCAAGATTCGCCTAGGAGCATGTTCCAAGTGTTCCATTCGTGTTCCAAGTACAACTTGACGCGCTCTATCGAATGGCGTCTTCAGATTTTCCATAACTCAAACTGAGTCTGAGAGAATTTGATAATACTAGTGTATCGCCACAAAAATCTTGAATTTTATGGAGTGAAACCTGCGAAGATTCGCCGAGGAGCATGTTCCAAATGTTCCATTGGTGTTCCAAGTATAACCTAATGGGCTCTCTCGAGTTGTATATTCACTTTTGTTGTATCTCAAACTGTGTCGGAAAAAATTGTATAATACTCGTATCTGAAACCATGAATACAGGATTCTCTATAGGAAAATCTGCTAAGATTCGCTTAGGAGCGTGTTCCAAATGGGTGTGGGTGTATGGGGTTGGGGGGTGCCTGTGGCTGTGGGTTTAGGTGTAGGTGTGTGGGATAATGTGGGTGTGGGTTTGATTCAAGATAAGATCTACACCCACACCCACACCCACACCCCTGAATCATCAGGACCAGTACGAGAACCATATGTTTTGGTAGTTGTTAAACAAATTGCAGTGACATAGCCGTCAATATCAGAAAGCATTGATCCTAATTTCAGAATGAATAAGAGTTTCATCTGAGAAAAAACATGTACTTTCATCAATTGAAACAAACCTCCGAGATTACTAACTGACACACAGTCTCTCCTAATACCTATTTCTGTTATTATTGTAATGAACAAAACATTATCAGCATAAATCTCCATTTTCGTATAGATATGATTTGCGAGCAACAATTAATTATCAAAACACCCATTTTACAACTACTATTATCGACTCTGTCAATCGATTCTTTATCTTCAATGACTTTTTAGGTGTCACCGAAGTAAAATATTCAAATGATCATGTCGAAACAGCATTATACGTATTAAAACAATAACTTAATGCTTGCTTGTCTTGTTCTTTGATATATAACACATTAAAGCTATCTTTATTGTGCTTATTAAAAAAATTAATTTTTCTGAATAAAATTACTTACAGAATAGATTCAATCTATACTGTCAATATAACATATTTGTATTTCACGTCATAAAAGGATTTACAATGGCATCTGAAAATATTCAACAATATGAGGCTTTAAAACATCCCTGAAGTTTTCCTCCCCTAAAGCAAACTTCGTAATATGTAAATAGCATCTGAAACCGTTCACATATTACGTCATCATTTGTTTTTTTGGTTTCTTGGATTCCACCGTAATAATATCATTAGAGAAATTTTTAAAATAATTTATAAAGTATTCGCTATAAATATTTTGTGAATGTAAGTCTTTAATTTATTCACACTCTCAAAGATTGCCGCCTGTTTATCCCTTTTTGAGTATTTTGAAATGCACTATACGTTCAAAAAAAGAAATACAAATAATAGTACAACCGTCAATTCTTGTTAATAAACATACCAATTTTTTTAAAAATCTTTATACAAGCTAACATGAATACCCTAGTCAACTTTCCCTGGCGAAGTCCCTAGTGAGTCACGTGAAAATTGTGAAGTCCCTGGTGTATCCCTAGGGACTCCCGGAAAAAATGTGAAATCCCATGGGACAATGCCGGGACTTTCGATTAAATCCCTGATGAGTCCCTTATTTCAGGGAGTGGGAAAAGGTTAAAATAATCACTGAGGATTCCCTGAGGGACTCCCCAGTGAGTTTTAGTGAGCGAATTAATATAGTGAATAAGAGCGACATCTGTGTGCAAGTATATTTAAATACAATATGGAGGCCAATCACGAGTTGACAATGGCTGCACCATCAGCTGTTATGAAAAAGAAACAATGCTGTTCAATTTTTCTTTTTGTTTTCATTCTTTACCGGTTAATTTTTGCTTCGATCAGGCAAGTCTTTTTTTCTTCGATGTTAATTATTTATACTTGTGCTTATTTTCATTCCAGATACAAATACTTCGTCATGAATAGTACCGAGCGCATCAGATTTCATCGTCAAAGAGTTCTTGATATTAGTGGTCGCCTGAAACTTATACGTGAAGTAGGTGCAGCTACTGGACAAATTCCTAGTATTGATAATATGAATCAAAATGATAATTTAAAGTATGCTAATGATGAACAAATCGATGATGATCCAATGAACATATATTTTGATGAAATGTATGAAGTAAATAACAATGAAAATGAATATGAAGACTTAAATAACAGCAATAGTAGTGTTGAACCTGATTCTGATCCTGATATTGATTTTACAACAGATATCGAAGATGAAGATGATAATACTAACATTCGTCTTTATCCGAATAGCTGTATAACACTTCGTCAAGCATATACAGCAATAAAAGCATTTATTATTAAGTGCAATTTGGCGTTTACACAAACGTTATATTTAATATCGTTGTTACTCTTCTTATTACCCTATGGTCATCGTTTAACTCGATCAGGAATAGTACGGTCATACAAAAAAAGAGAACAATTTTCTTACATTACATATTGTATCAAATGTAATGAAGAGGTAAATATGTGATTTATTTTTCTTATACAAAAATAAATGTTTTGTCTATCTTGTATTGGAAATACTGTCAACAAATTAGATTTCGTGTTAGAGGAGCTCTTGCGATTGCTGCTAGGAGATTTTTTTCAAGTTTCAAGATACTTGATTACGTTTACGAAATTGTGCTCTAAATGTATTTATTCTTTTCTATTTAGGTGAATGCCGTCGATGGCAAATGTTCACCTACATGTCTTCTTTATGGGAGTCAAAGGACGGCGGACTCTTTAACCGAATTGTGTATATGTAATGCGTTTGATCGAATTAAATGCGTTGTGAAACGTAATCTGTCTTTAATATTAGAATATCAAAAACGTGCTGATCATATTTTACCTAATGACATTGTCAATAGCGCCTTGTATAATAACCTACATCAAGATAGTAAATTTCATCGTTTAACTTTAATGATTCATTCCGATGGAATACAGATGATTACAACTAAATCAAAGAAGTTCTATGTTGTTACTGGTACATTATTAGAAATTCCACCACCACTTCGTGACTATGCTCGCAATAAACTACTGTTGGTAACATATTTGTCCGAAAATGAGCCAACACCATTATTACTCTACGATCGTCTTTGTAAACAGATAAACAAACTCATTAGTGAAGATTTTATTTTAATTGATCATCAAAAATTTAATATTAAATTTCAATTATTTAAAGCCGATCTTCCTTGTCGATCAATGTCAATTTGTATTAAACAACACAACGGCTATTACAGTTGTTCTAATTGTTTACAATATGGAAAAACGATTGGAGGAACACTTGTTTACTACCCTTACATCGGCCCACAGCCTCCTCGTTCACACGCAAGCTACTTATTGGCAGCAATTGAGGCCGAAAGAAACAAAAATCAACTCTCCGTTTTTGGAATTCATGGAAAATCACCATTATTATCATTATTTTTTGATGTTGAAAAGAATTGTCCGTTCGATTATATGCATCTTTGTTGTAGGTAAGTAAACGGTTCCATTCAATGTCTTAAAAATGATCCGATCATAGTGTATGTATTTTTGAAAATATGTTGGGAAGTGCATGTTTTTCTGTGTAGTTAGAGCCGAAAAATTACAGAGTTTTTTTTTGAGTTCTCGGTAAATCTTTAGGGAGTAAAATAGGATACTATTGATAGTAGTACAGTTCAAGAAATTTCTTTTTTTTGTTGTTTTTTAAATTCTAGTACGCATATATCTTTATTATTAAACATTTGGATTAAACGATATGGACTCCACACTCTTTCTTCTTTTGTGGAAAATATTATCTCTCCAATGGACTCTACAACAATAACTTCATTGAACTGCATCAACTGGTGGAAGTCCAAAGATTATCGATTGTTTTTGTTGCATGTATCTTTTCCACTAATACTTATTTTTGGTCCACCTGAATTAAGCTCTCATTTTCTATTATATTTTGTTGCAATACGAGTTATGCATTTTTATGAAAATATCCAAGATGTAGTTGCCATCGAACCTTTACTTGATGAATACCGTAAAGTTATCTCGACTGTTTATAACGATGATAAACTTCAACTATATAGTCTACATGCTCACAAGTATCTTCCAAAACAAGTTTTATCACATGGTGCTCTTTTTGCTCATGGTTGTTTCGGTGATGAAAGTTTCCTTGGAACTCTGAAAAGAAGTAGACGAGGAAACATCAGAGTTCCCTATCAGATTTTTAAGTCTTACCTTTTACGTGATTCTCAATACAATGAAGAACAGTCGACGATGACCATTGATAAACTATTCATTGATGAAAAAATTTATGATGATTCGTATTTAAGCATTAAAGTTCGTCAAGATTATTTTGTCGAATTTAAAAAACTTTATCTACATTTATTTAATGAAACAATAAATACTGATTTTCCATTATTTTGTCGTTTCGTTCGTGGCACACTTAAATTTAATTCATTATTGTATAGTAGAATCGGCTCGAGATTAAGCAACATTGTTTCCTTTAAACATAATCGATGTCCTGTGAGTAAATCTAAATGTTTCGGCATTTTAATTTGGTATTTTAGCTATCGTTCAAAAAACTATGCATTTATCAAACGATTAACATGTACAAATGCCGTATTAAGAACTCAACGCAATGATCGCTTTGCAACCGTAGCACATGATTTTATCGATCGCTTTTATAATCTTATCAATTTAAACGTGTTTGACTTTCACATAATACCTGTAGATGAGATTCTTCATCAGTGTGTAGTCATTCCGTTTTTGCATTTGCATTTGTTTTCCGAAGTTCTCTGTACTTTTGAACACGATTAATTGTTTCAGGGAAAAATAGGAATAAAAAAGAATGAAGATCTATAGTGGACCACTCTTTTCTTGAATTTGAGATGTAGTACTTATTCTTTTTCTATATTTCTCTAACTATCTTCTCCTCTTTTTTACTTGTAGATAAACTATTATCATGACATCAAGAACAAAAGCTATTACCCATGTACTATTCAAGAATAGAACCAACGATGAAGATATGATTGCACCATTAGACAAATGTAATATTACAAATGATGATACAGTCGAATATCGATGTGGACAACACGTTTATGAAGGTTCATTAACAACACTCGGTAAGTCTCTGTGCAGGCGTAGCATTATCAACAAGTCTGATAAACACATTCGTCTATTTTGTTTAAAGGTCCAAAAACCTTTTGTGATAAATTGTTGAAGAAAATGAATGGTCATTCGACCGATTACTTATATTCATCATTGCCAGATGATGATGAACAAGATGAAGAAGAAGATGAAGATGATCGTTATCTACATGGTGCAAAAAGTACTCAAGGTCTGAGATTTTTGTATTTGGTTAGCATTGTTCTCAGCATTTTCAGCTAAATCTTTTTTAAATTTAGTTCGAAAAAGAAAGAAAAAAGAAAACACATCAATTTCCAAATATATGAAAGTAAATGCTGTGGATTTACGACGAACGTTGTATAAAAAAAGTAAGTTCTTGATGATAGTATAGTCTGAACAACGAGAAAGTATGCCTGAATAAATTTCTGAACAGTGTAAAGACGTTGCTATTCGAAAAGTATGTTACAGAAAAAAAACTGAGCTTTTTTAGGTTTGGTCATGTTCTTTAAAGTTTCTCTTCTCACTTATCTTGTTTAGATACAGTTGCCGGTCCAGCAGGATCATCTTCTATTATTCAAATAAAATCACCGACTACTGCGGTGAGTACTAATGATTCCAATGTCGTGCAAAATATTGAACCGACAACGTTGTCATCTGCTAGAAATTGTATGTTTTTCGTTCTTTTCGAACCTTAAGAGACTCTTGAATAATTATTTTTCGATTTAGATTCATCAGAATTAACATCAATTCAAACGATCGAACCTACCGATTTTGCTCATATGGCGTCGAATGAAGTTTCGATCGGTAAGTACCGATAGATACTTGTACGAATACTAGGTATTATTTTTATATTTTTCTTCTCTGCATGTTTTTGTTCGTCTTCTCCCGTAGTTGAATTTTGCAAAATATTTCTACTTTGCCAGAAATTCTGAAAAGTATTTTCCACTCGAAAATAATAGGAGGATACTCATCTTTTTGTTTCAAGTAGAAAAACCATTGTCATGTATTTATTTCATCCTTTAGAAATTCTACATGCTACATCAACAATGTCACCGACACCTACACGCACAAACATTCACGAGCCTGAAACGTGTGAGAAAAGCTATCGAAACGTTCATACACCTGTCGCAAAGAAACGCTCAATTCCACTTCTATCATCATCATCATCATCATCATCGAATAAACTTTCTCCATGTATACGTTTTATCTCTCTGCTTATCTTTTTTAATGATGTCTTTGTCTCTATTGCAGCTGATCGTTTATCTAATATCGAATGTGCCATGAACAGTTTAATCTCTTATGTGAATGAGCTTGCTGAACAAGTTTCATCCTTATCTGGTCAATTGAAACCCATGTCAAAAACATTAAAAGTTATTCATAATGTAAGTTTTAGACTGTAGGCGGGCAAGATAGCAAACTTGTAAATGAATAAGAGCAGGAATATTGTTTTTTTTTGTTACACATCAAATTAGAAATTAAGTAGAGATCTTTTATTCGCTAAACTCAATTTCGAAGTCTTATAACCAGTGCTAAATTCTTACGTGTGTTTTTATAGCATGTTGTACCTCATACTGTCACAGATGTTATTGCAACACCTTCCTCTTTAAGAACTCCAACATCATCTTTTATGACGCCAGAAGCGAAAAAAGTTTTGGTATGTACAATTCTTCCTGAATTTTCGATCTAATCATGTGTTAATTTTGTACATTTATTTTCCTGTTTTTCAGATGTTCAATGATCAAAATTTAATGAATTTAAAACACGAATTGACTTCAATTCGATCTTTCTTACGTAAAATGACAATGAAAATGTATTCACGTGGTGAAATATTAGCTGAACAACATTTAGATGATAAAGATGATCGATATATGACAATAATTCGTAAGTCATTACATGTTCTGAAGCAATTGTTGACTCTCTAAGGACGAGATAATTATTTCAGATCTATTTTCATTTAAAATGCTGCTTTTACATAGTGGAATCACATCATAGTTGGAACTGATCCGCTTTTTTTCAGGCCGGAGCGGACCGGCCAGTTTGACTTTAGCGACCGAACCAGACCGGCCGGTCACAATTCTTGACCTTACCGGCGAGAAACTGGTGCATTTCATGCATTAGTTAACCAATCAGTACTTTCGAGAAACAGTATATTACTTCAGTTCGACGAAGATATATGATGCCAAACTCATATATTTCTTGAAGATTCTAATAGTAACATCTTTTGTATTAGTCAGTCACGATTCACGGGTTAACATTAAGAACTAACGAAGATTTATTTCAAAAAATTTTGAGTGAGAACTCACAGCAATTAATATTGACGAACATCTAACTATGCCTTGGTGGTATTTTCTCAATAAAGATATGATGTTGTCACCAAGGATAAGTTTGATCTATTGTTATTTGAAATAATTATCGAACATAGCTGATAAGCACCTCAATCTGCAAAAAAGATGCTACTACAGACAGAATGATACGATGAGCTAAAACGTACAGTTTTTATATTAGACCTCCTATTTAAGGTTTCTTAATATCTAAGTATTTTCACAGTTGCATGATGGCAATGGCTGACAAGATCTTAACAACAAAACATAGTCTTTTCTGATATTCTGTTGTAAAGACATGAATTGAAAACTACTAGCTATTGGGATTTTATGAGAGTTAGCTAAAATTAGTCCAGACAAATGAGCATAAAATTTCCAGGTGAAAAACCTTCAGTTTAGATCTGCATTGGCTTCTGATAACTGGCTAACTTTTAGTTAGCATAAAACAATTCAGTCAACATGCTCCGAGGCTCTCATATTAGGATGAGAAAGTGTTAATCAATTTTTACAACTATGATTTGACAACGCTTGAATATTTATCAATTGGAAACTTCCAAGCTCATATTCCTTGAACATTGAAACCATGAAAACCGTTAAAAAAAAGCAAAATAGGCGACTTTTAGTGCTCCAAAAAGTTTTCAAAATTAAAAAAAACGGTGAAACCCGGCCGGTTTTAAAAGTTCGACCGGACCGAACCAGCAACCGGCAGACCAATCCATCTGGTTCCAGCTATGAATTAGATCCTATTCTTTATTGTTCATAAAAAAATTAAATAGCAAGTTCTCTAGCTCCCTTTACAAGAAAAAACGATTTTCAGTTGAAAGTATTTGTATGAAGATCAAGTGCACCTTGAAGATTTAGCTTTCTCATTCTCTTAAGAGTTTTTGCCATTTTCGCTTCATTAAGAAAAATGTTTTCTTGTTTTTCTACTTTAAGAAGGTTTGAAGAGTGGTTTCAATTTGAATGATGACGGCATCGAAGCTCTACATGCATCATTGAAAGAAACAAGACGTCAATTGGCACGGGATGTACGATATTTAAAAGTTATGAAGCCAACATCTGTAGAACGTGCATTAACAAAAAATATCGATCAAAATCAGAACGAAAGTACGACTGAACAAAAGGAGAACGATTCAACAGATGGCAATGATACATAAACTGTGACACTTGAAACATTCTTACAACAAGCATGAACAGATCTTCCTTATCATCATTCTCTTGTTTTCCTTTCTTTTTTCTTCTCTTCTCTCATTAGCTCTGCTACAAATATTTACTTGTGCCATATTCAATATTTTTTGAAATAAAGGCTGTAAAAATAATTGGAAGATAACTTTGGTTACGAAGTATTAACTAATCTGAAGAAATGATTACAGATTCCCCAGTGATTATTATGGGAGTCATTCTCAAAGTCCTCAGGGAATCCCTCGAAAGTCCCACATATTTCCCTGGGGAGTCTGTTACGTGAGTCCCCTGGGATTTCTTTAAGGGAGTCCCTTGGGATTTTGCTAGGGAAAGTGGACTAGGGTTACTGTAGAACCAAATTCGAATAAATAATTATAAGCATGTAATAAAGATCTATTTTTATCGGTGATAAAGAATAGTAATTTGCAAAAGAATCATATTTTTTTTTATTAGTTCATTATTCTTGTTTAGAAACAAAAATTTAAAAACAAAAGATGTCGACAAACTGTATTTTCATGTTGATTGTGGTATTAGTTTCACTTTTATCTGTGAATGGTGAACAAAACAAAACAAAAGATGAAGATATGTGTGGTGTAATTACTAATATACTTTGTGTTAAAGATCTACTTGCAGACATTGCAAAAGCAGCGAAAGATATTCGTAAAACTGCGAATGAGATTGAACAGAAAGTTGTAAATACGATTTTAGGACAAAAAGGTTTTTTCTTCATTAAATTTTACTCAATTTTTTAGTTTAAAAAGGATCTAAATAAACTTCATCTTATAACAACAATAATAGGTAAAAGATCAGCATTACATTCAAGTTTTCCTACATCAAAACATCATATGCATTCATTAACAATGAGTAATATTGATAAAGTAAAATAAAACAATTTATTTGATTGAATAAAAAAAAATACTCATAAACTTTCTTTTAGGATGATTTTATTCGTTTAATTAAAGAGCAGCATTATGCTATTGGCTATTTATATAATTCTATAGAAAGTTTACATTATATTCAAAGTACATCAGGAAAAAATTTTGATAATTTATTTAATAAAACTCAAAAAAAATTAAAAAAAAATATCTTATGTAATTATATAGATATTTTACGTGTTTATTCAGAAAATTGGTTCACAATTGATCAAATTAATGGTATTCAAATAACAGAAACACGAGAACATGAGTTATCATTATCAGAATATAATAGTTATTCAATTATTATTGCTGAATTAATAACCAAATGGATGCGATGTATTGAAAATGTTATAAATAATCTTAAATATAAACTTATTTAAATCAATTTTGTTTTCATTTTAACAAATTTCATACTACTTGAACTATCTTTTCTTTTAAGTTATTTAATTCATATATATTATTTATCTGTTGTTGTAGTTTTCCTAGTGGATGCTTTCAATATAATGATCAATAAATAATATCGATTAATCGAAAGAAAAAAAACAATTTCTTTTTTTTATTCACATTACATAATAATAAGTTTACATGTTCATCCAAATATTTGAAAAGTCTAAGGGACGAGAGTGGCTTTCAGCACCAAATAAACAAGAACAAATATATTACGCTTGATCAATTTTGATTAATGCCATAAACATTTGAAGATAATGATATACGAAAGAATAATTTTTTATATTAAAAGGCATTGAATATTAATGATACACGAGAAAAAGTTTTCTGTAGATGTCAAATGACGAATATCAAAACACTCTATAAAGTTCATGTGATAATACAACAACATCAAGTTTCTAAATGTCAGGATGTGTGAGTATGAGTCTTTTTGTCATCTACAAATCATACTGTATAACCTCATTCTCATCTATAAACTTCCGCTTATTCAAAAATATAATTTTGTGTTCAAATATCCTAATTTGTGGCATTTAAAATACGTTTTTTCTAAAAATTAGACTCGTTCAGTTTTGGATAATATTAATCAATAATTGATTTTAGGAAGAAGAAGAATCATTAATTAAATGTTCTTATCTTACTTTCTGATATTATATTATTCATTTCATAGTTCAATTCTAATTAAACTGTCAAAAATAAAAAGTATGAAACTCTTAATTCATATATACCGTCTGCTATAATAAGCAAATAAATAAATAAATAAATATGAAATGTCACGTTTATGTCTATGGCTAAACCAATATGTCTATCCTTTAAGCCTACGGGACTTCAAACTTTTATACTTTTGATATAACGTCAATGAAGTTTGAAAGAATTACTCAATAGAATATTCCAACCTATATTCAATCCTACTTCAATAGAACAAGGAAAAAAAGTTTCTTCAAGGTCAAACAAATGTTTTTTTTTGTTAAGGTCATTTTTATGTCAAGCTAGAATAAAACAAATACATACATATATATATCAGTAAATAGCAACCTTTTGGTACGATTGATGTCACAACATGAAAATAAACCTAGCAATATTTGAGCGGTGCATTTTATTACATTCTATGTCTCTTGTTAGACAGTGAAAGTTTTCTAACGCTTTACTACCTATTAGCTGAGATACGACTTACTTCAATGTAAATATGCAATAAAAAACGTTAATTCAATGAAAGATGTCTTTTTACAATGCCTTATATTTTGATTAATTCTCCATAACTGGAAGCGATACAAAACTAAATTTTTAACTGGTAATACAACTCTAAAAAGTATATCTACAATAAAAATTTGACTGAAAACGGATGAGTTTTTCGGAATAAAATTCGCCAAGGAGTTGGCTACAATTTGAGTAAAACTAGAATTTTAAAAAGTCGTTCAGCAGAAGTTTGTTTCAGAGAGAGACAAACAAGATAGATATATAATTCGATAGAGTATTTCAAGCTCTACAAAATGTATGATTGATCATCTTCTTTTTTTCGTTTCTTCGATTGTTAGAAAATTCCATTGCTCAAGCACATCTCTATGTAAAGTGCAATTTTTCCACAGTGTGCCGCTCATAACTCAGCGACACTAATATGTGAAGAGTTAAAATTTAGTGTGATAGTGGAAAACTCTAAGAAGAGTAACATATTAAGAAAATTGTTTAAATAGGTTGAAGAGAAGAGAAGCTATTAACTAAATATCGTGAAAGTCTCAATCGTACGAGACAGTTACAATTCACTCATATATAATATTTTTATCAATTGAAACTTTTATTTGCTTATTAGTGCACTAAAAAGTAAACGAAAACAACTTGACATTGTTATGCATCGAGTAAAATTTTTGTCTAATTTAAATATTAGTGAATTTATCCTTCTCTTGGAAATAAGCAAACTTAATTCAATGTTTTAAGTTTTAACTCGTTTTTAAATATTTTATTTTAATACACTTTAGTGGATCGTACAGTATGGTAGAATTCCGTATAAATTATCAATTATCACGTGTAGCAACAACTAGAACTTTCTCAAAAAAACTTGTAATAGATAATTCGGATGTCTTATTTTTAATCATTCAACAACTAAAAACAAATGTAGTTTATTATAAATAATCAAATGAAATGATTGCCACATGAAAAATTCTTTAATGTGATCTTTAATAGTAGTTTCTAAGAAAAGAAAAATCATTTTTCTAGTTTCAGAAAGAAAGTAAAATAAAATCTCAAAGCTAACGAACTCCAGGTTTCTATCCTTTTTTTGTAAAAAAGAAATCTCATTTTGTTTATTGTAAAAGTTAAAAAGTATGACATCAAAAAAACTTATTTTCAACTTTTCGTTGATATTAGTGTAGAAAAGAAAATGTACATTTCTACTATTCTAATTTCAATCCAGAACGCATGTATTGAAGATATAAAAAGTGTATGAAGCCAGCCACTGTCTCGATTTTATGAAAAATCATGCATCATGATTTCATTTGAAGACTTTTAATTGCTAATACTTGATAGAAATCTGGAAATTTTTCTCCACTGAATGATCTTACTGCATATTACTTTATCAATAATACTAATATTTGCTTATTGATAATATTATTATGGGGAATCTATTGATGATTTCCTATATACCTAGACAGCATCTGTCGAGCAAAAACGTCAACAGACAACTATTTTTTTAAATTAAAAATTAGTTCTCAACAAATGATAAGCATACAAATAACCACGCATCAACAAAGAAGCTGAGTATTCAGTGAACTGATATTCATAAAAAATAATATTTTCAGACATGACACAATGTTTATTTATAAAAAAGCGGTAACTTGATGAGTGGGCTATTGCCACGTAGTATATAATGAAACTTAGTTTTTAGCAAATCGTAGAGCAACAACCGCATTTGTAACGAGAAAAAATCAGGTATTTTTGCTTTTTTTTGTTAATATTTATTTTGGCTTGTTACAATATATATATGTGGCAAATTTTAGAATCTCGTTTCTACTTTCGACGTAGATCGTCTGTCTAACACACGAGCTAGTCTCAAGTTTCAACAACTAGTAAGACAAACAAATTTTCCAAGTCGAAAAACTAATATGATATAATTATCTATTTAGCTCAAAAATGACTATTTTATCAAGTTTGATACTTGTTCTTCTATCAGTTGTATCTGTATTCTCATTTACTTTACGACAATCACAAAATGACAACATGTGTAAAACAATGGGTAGTATATTATGTATAAAAGAAGAATTAACAATAATTGCAACAGTAGCCAAAGGTATTGCACGCACATCCAGTGAAATAGAAGAAACTGTAAGTATAATTTTGATAAAGAAAAAAAATACAAAATTTTAATTATTTTGTCTTTTTTTCTAGATTGAACAAACAAAAGCTCTTGATACACTGAATCGACATATGAATATGGAAATGAATTATACACAATTAAATGTACCAATACCAGAATATCATAATGAATTTTTGCGAGTTAATAATATTGATAAAGTATTTAAGGAAAAAATATTTTGAAAATTTTATAATATTTATTTATTTGTTTTTGCATAGGAGTTTTTAACTGCACTTTTCTTTGAAGCACACAATGCTATGCTTTTCTATTATAATTCAATAGAAGATTTACTTGATTTAAAAGTTGAATATGCTGAAACAGTTGATCAATTATTAAAAAAAATACAAGATAATCTCAGATATGAAATTATTTGTCGGTATCGAAGTGCTCTCAATGTTTTTTCTCACAAATGGAAATTAGTCAATGAAATAGATCGAATAAAATTTTCAAGACAACATCGTCTGGCTCCATCATTTATTCATCATATACATTCAATAGTTATTGTTCGATATTTACAAAAATGGATGGAAATAATCAATTATGTTATTGTTAATCTTGAAAGTAAATTTTTTTAAATCAATATCTTATATAAAATCAACATTCAACAGAATCTTTTACAATATTTCATTTTTTTTTCTGATTGAGTCGTTTAAAATCTTAAATTAAATGCTTTTGTCAAGTTTTTTTTCTTGTGAATGCAATGTTCATATTCATGTTTTATGAAATAAAACGATAATAAATTTGATATATTTTCTATAATAGAAATCAGTCTAAATCAGAGAAGTCTATAAAATACTTCAGACGTTAACTTGCTAATGTATCTCCTAAAAATAAATAAAAGTATTATGATTTTGTTTATTTTCTATGTTTGTTATAATTACTAATTCATTTTCATGTAGCAAAAATATTTAACAAAGAAATCAAAACAATAACAACATTATGAATAGAATATCAGTAATTTATACTAATACAACAAATAATTAATGTTTCAAATCAAAGAGAAATTCTCTTTATTAACATCCATTTTACATAAATCATCAAAAAAATGTTTTGCTCAACAAAAAGTATAAGATTAACCTACAGTACATTAATACTCAAAAAGCCCTTTAGCCACATGTCCATAACATTCAACTTATATCCACTAATATTCACAGATGTGCATAGTCTATCTTTTGATACACATAAGTGCTATGCGTTAGTCACTATTCTTTAGTATTTGTTCTCCATAAACATCTGACAACGACGCAAACATGTCTGAATACTCTCTAACTAATAGCAAGAAGGATTTTAATAACACGTAAAACATATAAACTTGTATTTAACAACACTCAGAAAAACATGTAATGTACTCCTTGTTATAGAAATGAAATTATTTTATTCTTGAAAACACCTCGAAATAAGCAAAAATTGTAAAAGTAAAAGTATCATCTTGAGAAAATCCCATAGGAAAAATTCATTAATACTTAAAACTCCATCGTGATCGATCAATATTATTCATTGTATGTAGACTAATACTAGCAGATAGATATAATTTACTCGTTGAAAAGTAATACCTTAGAAATTTTATGTCGAAAATATCTTAAGACATAGAAATCGAACTTTTCATTCAGAAAAATTTACGTATTTTGGTAATTTCTCTACATGGTTCACTCACTCTGGCTCATTTATTCAATGGAATTCAATAAGATATCTTCAACATTTAAACGAGAGTACCGAAGAATTGGAGAATGACACTAGTGATTACATGTCTAATGTAAAAGAAGAATTGAACAAGCTTCATTAGTATTTGGATTTCAAAGCTAGCAGATGTAATCTAACAATTGATCAATTCATAATCTTTCATAGAAGTTATAAAGAGAAATTTTAATTCTCATTTGGCATAGTAAAATTAATTTAAGTGATATCAGCTACTTTCTTGATTAGTAAAAAAACAATACTTTCTAATCGAACTAGTTAGACAAGAAAAATGAACTCATTTTGATTCGTACTAATTAGACAGTACCTTTGTATTGTTTTTAAGCAAATTATTATTTGAAGAAGTTCTTCATATTGTCCGAAAATGAAATGAACTAAATAGCCTGCAGAATAAATGACTATTCGGTCGCGACACGACTGCTCCGCGCATGACATTTCCGCGCCGACTTTTCCGCCCCCGATATTTCTGTGCATAGACATTTCCGAGCGTGACACCATCGCACCGATGCTTACGTGGCGTGTGAGCATAGGCTGCAGATGTGAATGTTTTCTCCTGAGCCCCACCCAATCTTAGTTGGGTTCGCTTAAGTTCCCGTAGGGTTCAGATGTGAATCGTGGTGTGGGTATCGATGAAGATTACAGTCTGTCGATTCCAGAATTGTTGCACATGGATTCAGTCACAATTTATTGAGCGTCTTTCAAACTCTATCCCGACTGGGACCCGATTCAATTACTTTGTTCAGAGCCAAGCTCAAACATGCATCGGATTGATTAAACTTCTTTGGACCCAACCCGAACCTGATTCCTACTCATAATATCCTCAATAAAACTTTCTAATCCGCCTGTACAGTCACTTCACAGGTACAAGATGCTTTCTCACTAATTTATATGCAGCAACCAGCACGTCCATCACGTTTCTGTGGGTATGAGTGTGCATGGGGTGTGGAGTGGGTGTGGCTTAGGAGGAAACATTCGCATGCACACCGGCAGCCTACGCTCACACTACATTTAATTATTGGATGCAAAATAGTCGATTAGCTCTATTTGATATTTATTCTGTAGAATATAAAAACGAAAATAAGAGCCTTGTGTGTTCTGCATAAGATTTTATGCATACTTCTACGCCAGACATTGATAGATTTCGAAATTTTCTATAAATTCCAGATGATAGCGAATCTAGCCATTATATGTCTGACAGGTGTAATGTATGGCTTTGATTGATTGAAGTTGTGTTCCATACATAGCTCTTTTGGCATATAGCTTAATAAAGAAAAAAAAAGATTCATTTCCGACTCGAAAATTTGCCTAATATTTTTTTAATGTAGACAGTTTTTGTTACTTCTTTTTTATCAAAGACTTTTTGGTCAAATTAAATATTAGAAAATTCAAAGAATTTTTAAAATAAAGCAATACCTATGTACTTTAAGTAAACAGCTTCGAAATTTTTATTTTTCTAGTTCATATTTGAAGAAAATAAATTTTTTTCAAACTTAGTGTTCTAATTTCTTCCTATTTGAAAATAAAAACTTTGGATAAGTTATAGAAACAAAAAAAAATTGAAAAATTTGACACTGTTAAGTTGTAGTAGTGTACCTTAGTTACATTTCGACGTCAACCTCGATTTTTGTATCACTGAGTCTAGAGAAGAAAACTATGCCACATAGGTAACTACTTTTTGACCTTCCATATTACGATAGCTCTTGAACAACTCAAATATTTTACTCTCAAATTTGCAGTGTAAATTGCATAGAGCAGCAAATAGATTCTTTGAAAGTTTCGATAGGATCCATTGTGAGATTTCTGACATGGCAGTAAACCTTAAGATAGTATTATTACTTTGATGTGATTTGCCTAGGTTGAGATGTTTTCAAGGACAACGTTATTTCATTTGTATAGCAATTAGTGTATTGTATGTTTTTATAGATATTGAAAAAAAAACAAGTTGGGTGTGTTTTACGTGTTATTAAAACCCTTCCTACTGTTAGAAGCAGTATTTAGACATGTTTGAATCATTGCCAGATGTTCAAGAAGAACAAATATTAAAGATCAGTGACTGACACATAGCACTTATTCATATCAGAAGATGAATTTTGAACGTCTGTGAATGTTATTCGATATGATAAGTGTTCTTGACATGTTATTAGAAGGCTTTTTCGAGTATTAGTATGCTGTAAATTGATCTAATACTCTTTGCTGAGCGCATCACTTTTTGATAACTCATCTAGAGTGAAAGTTAGTTAGCTTAGCTCGTTGAGATCCGAGTATTATTGATAGTCATTTCTGTTTGATTTTCAAAAGATGAATGTTTGTTATGTTAGCATAAATTACTAATACTCTTATAAATAAACATTTGAAAGACATATAAAACTTATTTTCAACTGCGGAAAAAAAATGAATCAAATTTTCTTCTAATTACATTATTCTACTTATGTCACTGAACTATGTGCCTAAATTATGTTTGGTTTTGGATGAGTTCTATATAGTAGAAAATCCATAAGATATTGTTCTTCAGGTTTAACATAATGAAATGATATAGTTTCATCACTGCAACAATCATAATGCTAAAAGAAAAACATACATGGATAATTAAAAAAAAATAAGAAAAACTATCTTTTACTAAACTTACACTTCGTAGTGGATTTTCAGCATATGTTGCAAGCCAATCAGGAAAAGAACCCAGAAAATGTTCAACAAATGGAAGTGGATGAAATAATTCACGATTTTGTTTATCGAGTGATTTACCTGGATAGACACCTTTTGTACGAAGACAATTAGCTATTTCAACATCTTCACTACCACCATCTTTACGGCAATTTGATGTTGAATCTTTATGTGCTTCATAAAATCGTCGTAATGATTCTCGACTTAGCACATAAGATGCTCCACCTGAATGGTACCCTTTTGAAACGATAACCTAAACAGAAAAATATTAAAGAGTTTTAACGAATAGGTTTCTTTTATGAAACTAAATTTCTAATGATTGAACTTTGAAAAAATTTCACCATAAAATTTTAATCTAATTAATATGTTAATAGACTAAAACTTAGAAAAGAACAAAGAGTCAAACCTAAAAAGACTAGAAGAAACTTTCAAATTCATCTATTACAAGCAAGTAACAACACTCGCTTTCCTTTTTGTATTGAGATAAGTCTATTTCGATGGCATTGATGTCCTCAAAGAATAGCATGAAGAAAAAACAGACTTTATAAAAGGTGTGATTTCTTATTTATTTCTGTCAAACTCTATCTTAGACAAACGACCATTATCTAATGTAGTGACTTATCAGCCCACTATTCTAAGGTATATTGCCAGTGTTTCATTCAGCCTGAAGGTTGAGAGGGCGGCGCACAGCGGACAACCAGGCGAACATGACTTCAAGTTCTATTTTCTAAAGTTTAAATATTGGAATCAATACATTAATCGTTTGTCTGTCTTACGTTAAAGCTAGATTCTAAGAAATCAAGTCGAACCCTGGGAAAGTCCATTGTAAAAAATTGCTCATCAATCAATAATTATATGGAGACGATTTCTTTTATCAACTTATCAAAATATTTTAAACGAACGATTGATCCATAAACTTTGTTGTATGAAAAATGATTTCACTTGAACCAGAAATGAAATTTAAAAAAAGCGATTACTAAGCCGAAATTATGCCGAAAAATCGGCCATATAGTATATTCTGAATGCTACAAAGAGTTTAAGTGCAATTGATCTCAAACTTTCGCTAGTTGTTCTTTCATGTATGGCTTATTATTGATTATAGCATCATCTCGCGCCGATGAGCAGACCCAGTACTATGAATCTTCCTAAAATTGAGGCCTTTGTCCCCAAATTCCTATTTTTGTAAAGGAGGCATCACTTTTGTGCAAATTCAAGCTGATATGAAGAATCAGCTCACCGATCTGCATTAAACTATAGATAATAAAAGACTGTTTTGAAAAAAAAATCAGTCTTTATGCTAAAAATGTGTTCAAAAATTGACATTCTCGATTTTGTAAATGCTACAAACAGCTTCAGTCAAATTCAGTTCAAACTTTCAGTGAATATTCCTCCGTGTGGAGAGTATCGTTAGTAATCCATCCGAACATCATTATTTAAAGTGGGCTAACTCACCAATTTCCGAAACAAACCTGTTTTTTTTACCTTGAATCTCTCTTTTTGTCCTCAAAATAACATCATAGCAGAAAACTAAGGCGATGGTCACAATCAACACGTGAAACTACGTTGAATGATATGCGGCACAATATTTTTCTTAACAAAAAATTGTTCGAGAAACATGGCAAGGCTTCTCCACAGGTAATTTTCGCGAAAACCTTTTTTCCTTAAGAAATGGTTTTCATGCCCGTCTGATATGGGAAAGTTGCCCTTGGTGAGGTGGTTCCGCAGTTTGTAATTCTTCTACCATGTACTCTGTATTTGTGCTCTCAAAAATAGATGTACGTCCTTTCGAAACAGGGAATCTGCATAACATGTTATATATTATCTGGTATTTCTTTGATCAGTTTATGGAACATCTAATAATCTATTGTGTTATTTCATTAGTATTAGTATACAATCGATCAAGACAGTTTCAACTTTTCCATTTCTGAATTAGATTAGTAAAATCCGTTTGTATATTTAAATATGTTAAAGAAATGTTTACGCTCATGTAAATCATTAAGACAAACAAACAAAACGATTCAATCTATTAAATTATACAATAGATAATAAGTCATTAATAATTACCTTAAAGTTATATCCAAATGTAATAGGTTCCGATGTATTTTGTTCACTTAAAAATTTTTTCAAATTTTCAACAATCAAATATGTATCATCATCTGCTTTGACAAACCAATCAAAATCATCGAAATAATTTTCATATGTATATAAAAAAGCTAATACTGATTTTTGCGTTAGATGGTCATAACCAGGTATAATACCTTTAATTGGTGCAATAGGTATTTTTTCTGCAAATGTAATTTGTTCATGTGTCATTGTTTCTCGAGAATATTCTGTTATAAAAAAATAACGATCACATCGTGGTGCCCAAGTTTCATTTATAGCTTTTGTACGTGTAAGAAAACTGTTTGGTGATGTCACTATTAAACAGCATATGCGTGGTGATCTTATATGAGTATGATTTTTACTGAGGTTAAGTCGAATATTTTGAAAAACAGTATCATAATGTTTCGTAGAAAAACCGATGTAAAATATTGCAAATAATGTTATAAAAGTGAGGATAATACCAATTGAAATGAAACGTTTGTTACTAACAATAGACAACATTTCATAAATTACATTCGTTGTTTAAATGATAAATATAAGAAAAAAGGAACATGATAAAAACTTTTATCAAATATTACAACGTGAAAATAATTTATAGGTAAAAGAAAACGAAACGAGCGACAGAATACTAGCAGTAGTAGTAGTTTGCTTTAATCTATTAGTTTATCATTGAGACATCAGTCAGTTGCATATTACAATATTTCGTTTATTTGACTGAGTTAAAAACAAAAAAAAAACACGAATCGGTGATATACTGTGTTTGTCGATTGTCATATGTTGTAGTTATTACTCTTAATATACCCCTGTTAATGTTTTCACTTTTTGACATATTATGCACCGATTAGTTTTTTTCTTCTCATATGTGAGTCTTTTTGCAGCTGTGTTCGAAATAATCAATATCAAAAATATATACATTTATAAATCCAAATTCATCCATTCCTTTGTTTATTTCTAATGACGTAGACACATACTGTAGTAATGTTTTTCTGTCATGGATAAACATCAAAATATTTGATATCGGATCATTTTGATTTCTATATTTCATATACGTACTAGAAGAAAAAAACTATCAGTTGTCGTTTGTCAAAAAAAACTATGCTAAGACATAGTTAATAGAAGATGAAGAAAAAATAAAAAATATCTAATACAATATGTTTCATAAAAATATTATTGGCAAAACATTAATGCTACCTTTTATTCGAACTTCCTCTGTTGAATAGAAACATGATCGATATTTTGTATAACATTACGAGTCAAACGCCCTAATCTGAAACATACGAGAATACAAATGCTGACTCAGTAACTATTCATGATAAGACAGTCAAATAACGTAAGTCAACAATACATTCTATTTATTTAAACACATAATTTTATAATTAAAGAAGATTAATGCAGTTCTATGAGAGCTTTTTCAAGCATAGGTAAGACAATCCATCATAAGATAGATATGGACAAATAATGCGCATTATTGCGATGTTCGTAATAATTCTACATATTGTTATTTTTCTTTTTTTGTAGAAAATTCAAAAACTCATGAGAATACAAACGAAAACTGCTGTAAATATAAACGAATTATAATACATCAAAACAGTTCTTTTTTCAACTAAACATACTATTTAAATCATTATTTAACCATCATTCGAGCGTGACAAGCTCGTAAGCTTAGATCTAATAAGCTAATGAATTGTTGAAATTGATCGTTTTCTATCAAGAGAACTCTTTGGACAATTCTGGTGATCGGGCGTGGGTGTGAGTATGACTATTAGAGTAGTTAAATAGGAGAGACATCCGAAGACAGTCATATGCAGCACACCCACACTCTAATCAATTTGATATAGTAATTGTTTCGATTCAATTGACAAGTTTAATAAAGTAATAAGTTATGTTATAGATATTTCATTGTTCTTTACTTAAAAAGCTTAGCATGTATAGATTATTCTCTGAGTAGTTTCTTGTACGTATACATCTATGATCAAAGTGGTGAAATAAAAATCATTTTATTGAACATATATTTATCAAGAGTACTCAGTTTTGAATTAAAACTATACCTTTGAAAGTTTCATAATAGAATAAATCGGTCGAATGTTGCAATAATCATAACTTTTAACTCAAGTTATAACTTTCGGCTATAGTGATAGTCTTGAATTTTTCTTAAAAATAGTTTGATTATAATCACTAGCTAATAAGACTTTCAGTATTATTATTATCATTCTATAATTAATTACAATTAAAATGAAGCGAAAAAATCAAAATTTCCTTCGTTATTCTCATTAATCTTGATCATAATCAATTAAAACTTGATAAAAAAGAGATGATTATAATTGAAAGTAAATTGGTTAGAAATTTTTTCATTTATAATGAAGGAAAATCAATTATAATAGATGTTGTTCTTTTTTGCACTAATTTTGATCTATTATAATCGAAATTGACCAGTAAAAATACTTTTTTTTACACGAGCTAAGATTAATTAAAACTATTAGTCATATTAATGCTCTAAATTAAATGCAAGCAAAGCAGACATCAACGAGTCACTGTTTCTCTTTATCCTTCTGAATAATGCAGAAAGCATTTTTCTGTTTATGTGTAACTTGTAAGGAAACAATGATTGCATCTTCTCTTCTCATGTTTGTCGATATAATAATGATACAAATAATGAAAGACATATAAGAATCAACTGAGAATAACTTGATATAGTTATTTCATGTTTAAATAAAATGCATATGATTATTCTTCAAGGAAGTATTATCTAAATTTCTTCACAACATACGTATTTATATTGAACATAGTTATCATTTTAACGAATAAGAAGTAGAATACAGTAATTTCAATTATTAAATACTGTTTTCAGCTGCTCACATTTTAAAACTTATAATCGATCATACAACGAAAAATATATATTGTGTTACATGTGCATTCACACTTGACATATACATATAAGAAGTTGTGACTTGACTGTATTGAACAAATATTATTTGTGTTGCATTCAAGAAAAGCATATAGGATTACATCACAGAAACTAATAAAATAGTTATAAAACAAATTAGTTCATAGTCAAATGAAAAGAGAAATTTTTTTCTAAAATCTATAATTCATTCATCAAATGAAGTTGTTTGTTTGAAGTGAGGAATTCTAAAAGTATGACAAAAGTTTCCATGATTAAAACAAGGATACGAAAATCATTCTAAGATCTTTACAGATACTCTTATAACATCAACATATCTGCACATGCAAAAAACAACTGATTGATGATACAATAAAAAAATTTTATACGATTGTTATCAAGTATTGAACAGATATATCATTACAAAAGTTTGTGAATAACTCTCAAAACAATTCATTCTCAGTTGTTGCATTGTGTTTCATGCCGATTTTATTGCTCAAAATATTTTAGTATATGTTGTTCGAATATTTTCTATGTCTATTTATTCAGTGTCACTCTATCAAAGTATTTATTTTCATCTTGTGTCGTGCACATGAAAAAGTAATAAAGACTCAGAGAATATAGAATGTGAACAAAAGAAATACACGCCCAATTTTGTAATGCAACTGGGATAGAAAAGAACCGAGTAGTTCAAACTAGAATTCTATCCAACTTTCAAATGAAAAAAAAGAGTTATTTCTTCTTTCGATTCCGTTGCTTGACTTGGAATATAAGCCTTTGCTTAAACATTTCTTCTTATTCACAGATCTAAAATTATACATTCTTGCTCGTGTGAGTTTTAGTTTCACGTGAAAAAAAAAATCATTTTATATCTTGAATAATATTATGATTCCCATTTCCCGAAGGAAACAGGAGTGGACCAAACTCGATGGCACTGCAGTGTCGAGTTGATCCATGGCACGGTTTCACTAATCTTAAGTGATCCCGACCATGTGCTAAAAATTCGTTCGAAAGAGCCTGACTTTTTAGCCAGCGCCGGCTTTCAAACCGACGAGAAGAGATACTTAACTTTAATCTAAGCCTAAAAGGCCGCAAAGCGTTAAGTTAATACTGAAGTTGATGTCTTCATATTGAGTTTGTCTTCACACATTTCAAATATATTTCCTAAGTAAAAAAGAGAACTTTCACAATCAATTTCATTATTTCTCAATATTCACCTCCACTAAAATTGTGTAACATGTATTCGATGTTGTCTATCATTCATGTCAGTCAAAACAAATTTCATAACCGACAAACAAAAATAATAGTGTCAATAAAAGAAAAAAAAGAGTTACCTTCTTATGTAATGTGATTTCTACATGTAGAATAATCAGTTTTTGAATCTTTTTTTCTTTTGCTATCAATAAATCTGAAATGCAAAAAAGACACTACTAAATAGAACGATTTTTCTTATAAACACATTCCATCGTAACAGTGAATAACGAAGATATTTATTCAATATGAAAATCTAAGTCTAAACATAATCGCATTTGCTAGTTATCGATCTTTTGTAAAGCATATAAACCAATTTTCAAATATCATTTAATTCCCATTGGTATTAAAATATCCTAAAAAGATCAATGTTCCATGCTTGTTACATAAAGGACGTAGCATACTAACTTCCATTTTTTTTTCATTATTTGACATAATTTTCCTAACAATCAATTAAGTACTGGAGATTGGACAATTTTTTGCTTAGAAAAACATGTCACAATTATTGATAGCTTTTGTTTTATTATGGAAAGCAGAGTATTTAAAACAAGGCATTTTTCTTTATATCAAATCAAATACCTCTATGTTCAGAGAATATTTTAACTGAAAAGTAACTGATAGATAAAGCTCATTTCGCTTCTTGGCCTGAGTTAACTGTGTCAGCATTGACTACATATTTAATGAATATGTTTTTTTTTCTTTCCAATTATGGTGGCCTATTTTCAATAGTATGTTTCATGTCTTGTTGACTCTTCTGAGCTATATCTATTTGGCAAAACAAAAGTTGAATTAAACAATTCATTCGAATCAAGCAGAAAATATCATTTCAACAAGGTATAATTTTGCTTTTCTGAAGTACCTCCTATTCAAATATTCATTTCTACGCCAATGAAAAACATAATCTAGCTGCTTTCTTCTCGAAATGTACCATGTATTGATTCTAAAGATCAATGGTACCATCTTCCATATTGATGTAAATGTTAAACAGTTATATAGAATTGTGAACTGCTGCTCGACTATATAAATATGTTAATTTTCCTGCTTACTAACTTCAAATCATCAATACATATGAATATCAAGAACGTATTTTTTTCCATTATTCATCCTACCGACAACAACAAAAATAGCACGAGCAGGATGATCTCGTCCGATCATCGCATCGGAAAATTTCTTTTTCTCATAGGGAAAAATCTTTACACATTATCTACTGTATTAAGCGGTAAAGGAGAGTTTTATATTATTTTCTTCTTATCATTGATAAGTTCTCACTTCCCGAAGGAAACGAGAGTGGACAGAACTTGACGGCACTGCAGTGTCGAGACGATCCGTAGCACGGGTCCGAGTGAACTCGGGTGGTCCCGGCCGATGTCCAAAAATCCGCTTGAAAGAGCCTGGCCCTAATGGGACCAGCGCCGGCTTTCAAACCGACGAGAACAGATACTACACTTTGATCTTAGCCGAAAAGGCCAAGAAGCGATAACTATGTCATTGAAATGAAGTCTCCACTGCAGTCTTGTGTATATACATTACTAAGCACAATGAACGAGAAAATTATGTAACGTGTATAGACAACATAGATGTCGTACCTCACAGGTCACTGTAGTCAATTGCTTATTACAAATTTACTAACAGGTAAATGATCAACCCTGGTCGCTTGTGAGTTGCTATGACGAAAAGGAGCTGGTTGATGGCAACACCGACCTGTCAGAGCAACACTTTTTATGAATGAAAAACTATCGTTTACCAGTTAGAATGTCTGGTTTCAGTACGCAATCACCAATAAGAAAATAATAATTTTTTATTTCGTACCTATTTCCTTTGTTGAAACATCAAATGTACATTCTCACTGAATCATTAAATTATGATTCGTTTGATTTAAAGATTTATCAGAAAAACATCTCATAAAGTTTGGCTCACTATGCATCGATGTGTACTTATGCAAGATAATTTTTGGTGTAGGAAGCATTGGTGTAATAAATGTAGACATTCTCAACGCAACAATAGAAGGAAACTTAGATTTCTCCGTTTGGATTTTCTTTTTTTATTAAAGAAATGTTGCTCTAGCAGGTCGATATTGCCATCAACCCACTTATTTTCGTCATCGCAACATGTGTTTGATCAGAGTTGATCATTTACCTCTTGGTAAGTTGTAATAAGCAATTTTTGTTGTTGATGTGTAGTGCACGACATCTTCGTTGTCTTTACACGTACTGCATTAGAAAGATAGAACGCAAAAGTAAAATGTGTAAGAATAGAAGATATGTCACGCTCGAGATACTGCTGAGAAAAGTTGCTTATTACAACTTACCAAGAGGTAAATGATCAACTCTGATCAAATACTTGTTGTGATGACGAAAACGTGCGGGCTGTTGGCAACAATAGCCTATCAGGGCAACATTATTTATTAATAAAAGGATTAGCTATTGTCAGACTATGTGTTAGTGGGTTTCATTACATTTTTGTGTAACATATGCGTATAAACACGCTATTGTTGCTCTTTAATTCGTGAATCTCCTTGTACTTTTTGCTATCGAAGCTTTGTGAAAATGTAAATGTATATGGTTCATTCATTCTTTCATGAAATCTTGTAAGTTGATGATGAGCAACGTGTGGTTCAGTGATGTCAATTTTTATTGTTTGATGAATAAAGTCGTGTATGGGAAATGAAGATGATGTCGTTTATATGTTTAAAGTTAATACTTTTATGGCAGGCTTTATGAACTTCATGATTGAAAGAAAAACACCATTGAAGTGGAGATTAGATATGGGAAAGATGGAACAAAATATTCAGAATAGATAGGAATTGGGATATCGAAACAACCGATGTCTGTCACTCTATGAGACATTTGCCTACTTGAAAAAATAATATTCCATCATGATTCTACGCTTTTCTTTTGATAGACAAGGAGTAAGATTTCGAACAGTAAAAAGGATCGGAATTTGCCAATTCTGTTTTATTTCGATGAAGATATTTCATTGATTTCAATAACATGTTATATATGTGAAGAAGCATAAAAGTGCATGGATTTCGTTGAATTTCAACATTTTGAAAAATGAGAAAATTTTTAAAGTTTTAGAAAAACTGATGAAAATTTTTAACATGGACCCTTTTGTGCACTAGAAAGTTAGTAGCGAGGTACGATCAAATCATGCCTTCACTCAGTACAAGAACGATCATCATCGGCAATGATAAGACTAATTCGAGTATAGTGGACGAATGCTATTGGTTTCAATCTGAGTAGATGTAACGGACGATGGACAAATAGTGGTAGAAAATGTTCATTCCTCTTTCTCCTTGATAAAAGGATGCTGAAACAAATGTATATCTTTGCATATAAAATATGTCATAATGCGTAAATTGCTGCTTATATACATATTAATAGAAGTATATGCTAATTAAGATCTGCTTCTCATCCAAAAATCATCATCTGGAGTTATGTGTCATAAGTATTAAAATGCATATAGCTTAATTCCGTTTAAATGTAGGGTGTGGGTGTGGGTGTGGATGTGGGTGTGGGTGTGGGTGTGACTGTGGGTGTGGGTGTGGGTGTGGGTGTGGGTGTGGGTGTGGGTGTGGATGTGGGTGTGGGTGTGGGGGTGGGTGTGGGGGAGGCTGGGGGGGGGGAGGTGGCGGGGGGTGGGGCCGCCGGAGCGCCCAAGCCAGGC